TTATGATGCCCCTTCAGCCTCTCGGGGAGAGTAGGTGGAACATTTTTTTAGAGGAGAACAATTTCTACATTCATAGTTTTTTTTCTTTTCAGGTCAGTCCCTTTATCAATGAGAACACCCGACAGAAATTCCTGATTTACAGTGGCAACAATTATCAGGGGCCCGGGGGGCTTGTAGATTACTTGGAGAAAGAGATCGTTCCGGACTTCTTGGGAGGGGAATGTGTGGTAAGTGTGGCGACGGACAGTAAGGCAACCAACGTTTCTTGAGTCGTGACCCCCTTTCGTAATAGCCAAGTCACTTGTGACCGAGCCCCCCCCTTGCCACGTTTCCATAGAATGTGTGACCCCCCTCAGAAAACACTTTGCGGCCCTCTTGGGGGTCATGACCCCCAGATTGGGAAACACTTCTATAGTGTAAAATTTAAGTTGAATTTCTCCTGTAAGGTACTAGTACCTCCTGATTAGAGATGGGCATGAATTAAAAAACGAATCACCAAATTCATGCAAAAACTAGCGAATTCATTGATTCGTATTTGTATGAAGCATGCCTCTGACTTATCACGAATCAACAAAGTTTTAGCGATTTTTGATTTGTTGATTTGTTTGGTTTTAAAATGCCTCCCAAAGCTGCCAAAGACACAAAAATTTCGGAGAAGTTTCCTCCGACTCCCCTCCACAATCATTCCCAGTTTGGTGAAGATTGAGTGTCAGATGTCTGAGTTATACACCCACAAAGAGCCCCCCCCAGGAAAGTTCCCCCGCAGGTACCTAGAGACACCGAAATCACGGAGAAACTTCCCATAACTATTCTACAATCCCTCCAAGTTTAGTGAAGATTGGTTTTCCCCTTGCTCGCTGCTAAAGGGCATTTCCTGGCGAGATCCACTATAAATTTGGATCTCTCTATGTTCGTTCTTGGGGGCCCATTTGATAGGGTTTTAAAATCAAAACGAATTGACAAATGGATTCGGTACCCCCAAAAATTGTAAATTTGAAATTTGTGATTCATCCACCTTGGTGAAACACAAAGCAAAACGAATTGCACTTTTTCTATCATGGCCAGCGGTGCAGGTTGATGGGGACTGCAGTCTGAGAACATAAGGACAGTCTCTGGTAAGCCAAAATGGTCCACTCCTGCTTTCAAACAGTTTAGCTTGAGAAATAAAGCAGAGAACTCAAGTACGAATAGCGCCATTGCGAATGACTCAACTAAGTTAAAGCCGAAAGGACGTCTAGTAGCTCACATGCACCAAGGCGAAACGAAAGTCCGGTGCCGCTCAACACATCGTGGGAACATAGAATGTGAGAATGATGAATCCAGTGATCTCGAGCTTCCCAACTACATACAATAAAGCTGCTTCCTCATGCTTTGCAGACCCTTGCTAATGTATTTTTGCCCCTTTCAAGGAGTGTGTGATTGCACTTAGTCTTCAGAGTCTGAGCCCTTTCATCTCAGCAGAGTGTTGATAGATGGGCTGAGATGACCTCTGCTTTCTCTCACTTGCCAAGCGCGAGGATGTGGAAGTCTTCCTGCGTGGAATGGCAGGGAAGGAAGCTGATCATTCCAAAGGCTTGATTTACAAGCCATGGACTAAACGCCCCTTCTTTTCAAATTTCTTCCAGTGCAATGTGCCTGAAGGTGGGCTTGTTCCCAAATCGCTGTATCAGACAGA